GGGAGTCGGGTCATTGGTGAAGGAGGGATCTACTTAACTCAAAGCCAAAATATTACTTTTCTATCTGTTTTTCTCTTCGTTTTATATGAATAAGATCTGCGGCACTTTTGAATGGGATGACCTAAAACCCATAGAATAGAGGGGTAGTGTGATTGCGGGTGGGAGGGGGGGGGAGGGACAAGACCAAGAGATCACTCTGGTCAGGCCTCGACGAGAAGACCGACTTGCACTGGCTTCGCCACTCCTCCCCCACCGTGAATGAACCAGCGCCGAGAGAAGGGATGTAACACTGCGGTAAAGTTGTGGCCAGCAAAAAGGCATACCTCTTCATAGTCCTGGATTGTTACAGTACCACCACTGTCGACGTTGACATGGGTTGAGCAAGTGATGCAGAGACGTAGGCGTGATTCAGCTACGGGATAGTGGCAAACGGAAGCACCGTGGATCACGCATTGTAGCCTCCTTAATATTCAAAAATTATTCTTGAAACCCACGTATGCGCAAAAGCAGGGATGAGGACAAAGGAAAACAAGGAGATTCCGGAGCTGTTTAGCCTGAGGATACATTTGGCACTTTTGCTGCACTACCAAGCATCAAACAAGAGACTCGGGGAAAGCAAGGGCATTCTACCTCACTCATCCGGAAGTCGTTTTTGACCCGTCAATTTTTGACCAAATTTTTTCTCTGTGAGCAGACTTGGCTCAAATGTTGTCTCCAGGGGTAGTTTAAATATGAATACGAATATCACATCCGTTTGGCCCGAAAGCTCCTGGCACTCACGCCACCGGCGCAGGTGATTTGAGGTATTTTGGCGCCGGCGCCTGTGGCGCGAGCGCCAGGAAGTTTCAAGCAGTGCGCATGTGATATTCGTGTTGAGGAGGTCAGACTACTTAGCAGGGCACAGCATTCGATGGGGATTTTGGTCGAGCTTTTACGACCCCCCCCCCTTTTTTTCAGGGGCTGGTACGACCCCCCCCCATGCTCGTACGATGGCTGACATGGCTGACTGTGGTTGTGGTTTATACTCGGCGAAAAAGTTGTCGAGCGGGGGGGGGGTATGTAGTAGGCATGCGACGTACATCGTACGGGCGTACATAGTACCTATAACACAGAAAATTCATAAAACTCATGAAGTGAACCACGTAACTCCTAGCCAGAAATACGACCCCCCCCCTCCAAAACGTCCGCAAAGCGAGAAAAATCAACTATAAAAATAAATTTTTTCCCACCCAAATACGACCCCCCCCCTTTTGGCGGCCAAATACGACCCCCCCATAGGGAATCCCCATCGAACGCTGTGCCCTGCTACTTAGGAACAAGCTTCTAGCTAATTTGGTGATTTGAAGTAACTTGGCGCCGCGCGCTTGTGATGCGGGCGCCAGGTTGTGATAATCATGTTGAGGAGGTCAAATCACTACAGGGGACGAATTTTCAGCCAGTTCTGGCACACAGAGAAAAAAGTCGGTCATAAACTGACCAGCTTTCGGATAATTGGGAATTAAAGGGTAAACAGTGCCAAAGTAAGTTATCGATTTTCAAGGCTGACCTTTAATTTGTCGAGTCGATCATCTTTTTCTCGTATGAGAGCATACAAACGTTCAATCTCCTTCGATGGTTTCGATTTTGAATCGTCTAGAAAATGAACGTCTGACTTCAAGGCAGTGGAAAGGCTGAATGGTTGGCTGCCTTGAATGAAAGTGGAGGGGCTGAATGGTGCGAAAAGCTGAAAAGAAAATAAAACAGAACTCTCGAAAACCAATGAAGTAAGGCCCTCATTCTGCCCGTTGATTCAGTGCGATGGACGAGTTTGCGGCTATCATGCCATCACCCATCTCGCGGCAATGTCAACACCGCGCTCCTTCTATGCAGTAGGAACTAGAGCACACATAGGTAGAGATTAGATCTTGTAGAGCGGTCATCTGGAGGCGGAGCGAAAGGTAAAGGCGTGGTCGGGCCTAGTCGAATCGCCTTGAGCATGCCTTGCGCTGCGAAACACACTACAAGGGAGCCTGGTTCGCCTCTCCATCAGGAATGTGCGCTAGAAAAGGTCAGCTGTTGTATGGGAACGACCTTAGCTAAGCTCTCTGGAAGCTCATCAAATAAACAGTACCGATTGGCAGCGCATTCCTTATTAGGAGTTTGAAACACGATAACTTGGGCCACTGCGCGAACACCTATCTATGTCTGAAGCAGATCGGCGGACGGTGTAGAATAGAAAACGAGCACGTCAAACAACTAAACTAAATAAACCAACATCTGCTCCAATGTAAAGTACAGGAATCGCGGAATCCACATGTCGGCAGTGCACTAAACTATGGCAATTTTCAAAGCTACTTCACGAATAAACTAGGACATTTCCCTTTAAACAAATTAGATTCTGGAGCGAATGCCGCGCACGTGACGCTACTTGCAACGCCTCGTCGGTGCGACACGGACCCCTGACGACCCTTTTCCTAGCGCCTCTATTATTACTTACACCTGTGAATAGCTCGCATATTTGAGTCTTTGTAATATTTTCTGGACTTCAGAAAGTAGTCCAGAAAATACCACAAAGACTCAAACATGCGAGCTATTCACAGCTGATTCGCGACAGCGCGCGCAATATTCACGACTTAATTTTCACGGAATGGGATTTTGAAAGAACGATTGGGAATTCGAGGCATTTTCTGTATATTTGCAGCTAACGCAGTAAAGAACAATAAAATAATTCAAAGGCGATTATCAAATGAGCTATCAAAAGGACAAGGCAACTTCATACTAAGCGATAATATCAAAGATTGCAATCAATAACTAGGCAGTAAGTCATGATACGATCAATAGAAAAACCAACCTTGTACGTCCATCGTGGGCAGCACCGTTGATCTTAACTGCTCAATGTGAGCGCGCCACGTGTAGCGATCACATGTCCCGTGGTTGGTCAAGAAGGGTGTGTCTCTCATTCTGATTAGCTTCTCGATAAAGCGCTAGCCATTCAGAGACGCTTGCTCGGTACATAGTATTGTTCAAGTATTTCTTACGGTATGCCAAGTTCTTCTTGTTCAAAAACACCCTTCTAAAAGTCCACGGTCATAGTAATATGTCAGGTGATCTATAATCATTATAGGGGACAAAGTACGCCGAACCTCCCGCCAAGATGACCATTATTGAATGGTAAATACGTTTTGGCGCGGCGTCAGCCTATTTCCATAAATGGCTGTCCCCCCCCCCCATCTCTTAGCAGCCTGCCTGGTGGAAACGAGTTGGCGCCGCCTTAAAACGCACGCCGTAGGGACGCCTCAGGAGAATAAGGAAATTGTGTCGATAAAGCGGCAGTTTCAGTTAGTCGTTATAGTTAGAAGGGACGGTGGGCAAGACAAGGCCACTTAATTCCCTACCCGCCTTCGCCCTCACTGGCGTCGGCCAAGCTCCTCGAACACTATCTCTTTGAGAAGACGCAGACGAGCAAAAAAGAGGCGTGGCCCACCCGGTTGAGCGAGCCTTTGCTTATGGAGCCTGTAGACGGTCTCAGGATATCTGTCAACCGCGGAGCCTTCCTCCTTCCTTCTTTTTCTTTCCTTCCTCATTTATCTTCTCCCTTTAAAAACGGCTCGAAATATAATCATGACCAAGAGCAAACTCGCCGAACCCTCAAGCGAGAGAGAACCGCTTGACCGATGCTGTAAACTACCGACAACACTTGTTGATTTCTTAGAAGTAAGACTCCCTCCCCCGCTTTCTGAGCATGAACCAGAGAGTTTGTGCTGGAGAATAGGCACGTGCACGCTTTTCGTAATTTTTCTTGCTTTTGAAATGCTGTTCGTTTACTAATCCGAATGAGAAGGTAAAGTCCGAAAAGTATTCCATTATTGCTAAAACTGTGTATCCATATTTTTATTACAGATTTATACAAGCATACAATTATTTTCCGGGCACGTTTTTCAGTTGATACGTGAATTGGAATGTATTTGATTGCGGTCCATTTGATTGATACTTGACGTTTTCATTGCGGATCCCGGAGTGAACGCCGGTGTACTGTAAGTTGGCTGCGTTTGTGCCGTTTGAGCATCATACTGAGGCGCGTTATGTGCCTGCAAATAAGTAAGAACAATGGTGACTACACTTATAGGCGTTATATCTGTGACTGGTCCAGCCACAGTACAACAGTACACCAGAACACCCAGAGCTATCAGAGTAAGGCTTTGTTTGTACACATGGCGAACAAAATTAAAACACTGTGAAATCCAGCATGCTAAGTTCAGTCAATCTAAGTAGCCTGCCCCTCACTGGGAAGTAACCCTTCTCTTTCGGTCACGAGAGCCCTGAACACCGAAATCAAACCAATTTTTTTCGCGATTTAAGGTAAGAAGAGTTTAGAAGAGCTCGCAATCGGCAGTCACCAGAGCTGTTCAATCAGCAATCCCTTCTACGACAATGTCGTGCGCCTGGGGTCGCCAGCGGGGGGCGGAGGGGGGGGGGGTGTGTGACAAGAGGATCGTAATTTGCCGCGCTGCTGGGTGTCGCGTGCGACGTCTCGCCGTCCAAGGACGATGGCTTCAGGCAGTAGATGGCGACAACATGCAATTAAGGACCGAAAACAGTAATGAGTGTCCACGATGACGGGGTCTACATGAAGTCCGGTGCTTCATTCGACAGGTTAAAACGAGTTATGAAAACGCCGCGCCCATCGCCGCGCGTGGCGGTGCGGCGAATTACGATCCTCTTTACCGTCTCCCCGGGGGAGGGGGGTGTCGTACTTGTGGCTAGAGAGGGACGAGGAGGTCGTACTGGCCCGTGTAAAAAATGTACACTTCATACTTGGACCCGTTCCCACCCCTCCCGCTCGACGGCAGTTCTTCGTGAAAGTTAAAAAAGAAAAGATGGAGAATATGCAGGGAGAGGCACTTAGAAGGGGAAGGAGGTCAGGCCAGAGGAGGAATTTCGGAGGGGTGGGGTCCCATCCCGGAAAATATCCCCCCAACGTGAGGACATGCCATGTCAGCGATACTCGGCCTGCGAAGTTCTGAACTGAACAAGCTAAGAAACTGTACCTGCTGTATTATCGGGTCCACTTGATTATTGAAAACATTCCGTGCTTCCTGTGCATATCCAGTCTGTACAGTCGGTTGTCGGTTCAAGTTGCAGTAGCTGTAGTCCTGAGTTGAGCCTGCCAACTTGAGCACTTGGCTCCAATCACAAGATATTACTATCAGAAATCAATACAGGTCTAAGAAGTTTGGCAGCGGACCAGCGCTTTTTCCCACCAACTGTAGCTGTTTGTCAAGCTGTCTGCAATTGGAGGGGAATAAGCTGGCGCCGCGCCGGCGGTGAACCCTTGACCGCGCCCTTCGATACGCCGGCGAACAAGACTGTATGCCCGCCATCCTGTGGCTTAGTTTGATAGATGCTGACATAAACGTGTATATATTTTTTTTAGAATGCTCCAAAAGGAGACAGACCTATTGATGGGTGGTATTGACTGGTCTATTGATTAGTGAATGACCGATCGATTTCAACCGCTCACCCTTCCTTTGCAAACTGTGTCCATTTCTCGCCCATTTGATCCGCCACACGGCGGTCATCTGATGTTGGCATGGCGCCAGCGCCCGAGCTCCAGACCGTCTCAGACATGAACAGAAATATCGTGTCTTGTCCTTGTAAACAGCTAAAAAAACATATTTGATGCTTTTCCACACCCATATGAACCGTACCATTGTGACCTTCCACTCTTTCCAGCTCCCTCGTAAACTGCCTTTCATTGTGCAGCTTAGCATTTTTGAACCGCAACGCAAACTCTCTTTCGAAACAAAATCTGCTCTTTACACATTAACCTACTTCTTAGCTGTCACAAAAGCTGCCGATTTATCAGATGCACCATAGCCGAAAGTTGAAAATTTCAGTAATTTTTGCCCACTTGAAAAAACGTCTCCAAGTACCAGCAGGAACTCAACGTAATGTTGTCTATCAGAGCCGGTGTTAACCGGGTTATACTACTCACGTTTCCATGATCCCGTATCGGGCACATTTTGTCGGCCAAGCTCAGTCACATGCGTGAACTGATACACTCTAACGTATTGGTTGCCATTTTGCATGAAACGTATCGATTTCAGTAGCCGTCTGAGATACAGTACCCGCATCGGATGAAATCTAAAAATAATCGATTATAGATTGATGGGCGCAACGCACGTGAGCACATTCATATACTAGCCTGAGAAATGGACTTCAGAGACGCGATAGTTTGGGGATTATTGACTGCCGATTGAGTATTGAACCCACCCTGAAACAAACAAATTGTTGGTAGAAGTTTGAGCTTGGCAACAAATGGCAAGGCGCAGCGGCAAAACCGCACCGCAACCGCACGCGTTCCGTGCAGGCCGCCTCATATAAAATGTGGAAATAAACAAAGTTAACAAATTATTGTGAACTCACATTTTGATCATATTGCACACCGAACTGGTTGGCAGAACCCGCTTGGTATTGATTGCTGCCTTGATAATTGGCAGAGCCGGCTGGCTGACCCTGACTGTAGCCTCCATTCTGGTTAACGTAGCCGTTGTTTTGGTTGGTGTAGCCGTTGTTCTGATCCGTGTATCCACCATTCTGGTTAGGAAAGCCGTTGTTTTGGTTACCTGTACCCGACATACTGGTTGCCGTAGCCATTGTTCTGGTTACTGTAGCCGACATATTGATTGCCGTAACCACTGTTCTGGTTAGCGAAGCCGATATTCTGGTTGGTGTTGCCGTAGGTCTGGGTGTGATATCCGCCAGCAGAGTTTCCATTACCTCCGTTTGAGGTGCTGTATCCGTTCTGGTCATAGTATATAGGATATTGGTTTCCGTTCGTAGCGCCTGCTGGGTTTTGGCCACACGGCACACAACCGGCGACTTGCTGACATTGACATTCCGTCGGGTTGTTGTAGGGGTTACCGTAACTGGCGCCATTCGGCTGATATCCACTGTTGGGCATCTGATTGCCATTGTAATTGAACTGCGGGGCGGATGTGCTAAAAGTTCGTAATCAGTCGACCAATCAAAGAACTGCAGCTTAGACAGTACCCAGACTTAGCGATGACGCGCTACAACGCGCGTCGACGTGCTACCATTCCGACAGCGCTCAAGTACCAGACGGGAACACTCTGAGACGGGCATCGATCGGCGCCAGCCGTCAGTGTTTTGGGAGAGTATAGAAAAATAGGAGGGTCCCAGACTATTTCATTAGGCAGTGCGTTGTCTCCTATTCTCCTATACTCTTGAGAAACACCAACTGCCGATGCCAATCGATACTCCTCTGAGGCTGTTTCCGTCTAGCAGTGGAGTGCGATTGCAACAGTAGCGCGTCATCGCAAAGTCGAAACGCTGTCTTAGCGATACATTGTGCCGCTTTTACAGATCCAGCTCTAACCCAGCCACAGTATGAAGGATTGGAGCAAGCATCCAGCACTTTTCCAAAGAGCAATCAGCTCTTCCCTCATCTGCCGCGTCGAAACCGCACGCCTAACTTCCCTGTATTGTGACAAGAATATGATCTCGGAAAACCAAGCCCTTCCTAATGAGGAATCACCTCCCACCCTGATAGATTGCGGAGCTGTCATGCATTTGTGAACACCATACCATTGAAATGGAGGAAAAAAATGTGAATCGGAAAATGGAACCGGGTAGACAGCTTCTCGAGACATTCTCCGCGCTAACCAGTTGGGAGGGGCTTATAGCCATCCTGTATTCCTCATTGGTGCGCCCCACCTCTCAATGCGGTCTGGAAGAGGAGAGCGTCAGTGAGACACGCACAATGTCTACGGGTTTCCACCTGTTTCTCTGCCCATGCGATAATTGCGGAGACTGTGTCTCAGCCTTTCAGGGGACCCCCACTAATCCCAACAAATTACATAATTTCCTTCCTTATTATGATAAAAGTCCCGGCACTAGGTCTTACAGCTCAAATACTATCACTGGGCGGTAAAGTGACTGTAACAGAGGGTATTGATTGGTATAGACGAAATCAGGCGCCATTCGGCTTGGGGGGAGTATTGGATGTTACTCAGCTAAGCTTGCACAAGCCACCTTCTAAATTCTCACAAATTCATGTAAACAGAGTGGTTGTATCATTCCGCAGCTTCACAAGTGTTCACAGGTCCCCTTCAGTGAGACCACTTATTGAACAAGAAATAACAAAACGAACCAGCAGAAGGGCATATTGCCCCGTCCCCCTCCAAACGAACAGCGCCCAAAATCATTTGGATAATTTGGTTAATGATAATGGCTATTGAAATGATGAATAAACGAAGATCTCACCTCGGGTCGTACAGCGGTCCACTTGGAGTAACATTGTAGTTCTGCGAGATAATTTGAGAGACCTAAATTAAAAAGGTATAGGCCCAGTGTTACAAGCATGATGTCTGCCTCCAAAGTCTAATGAGCGAGGAAATACGTAACGCGACACCTAATGGAGCACTGATGTGCACTATATAAAGTCTGAGGGCAAAAGGAGCGCTCCCGCACTAACCCAACACTCCAAACGCTGTCTCGGTGAGAGGGTGCAGACAACCATGCAAGAAGTATGTAGAAGTCGCGCCGCCGTGTGTCCCTATCCCCCCTCCTCACACAAGACTGCCTCTGCCCCTTACATTGTCCGAGGTGTCCACAATCCAGTACTCCGGACGATAATTGCAATTATATGTCACTACAGCCATGTCTTCTGTCTTTCTGTCTGCCTCTCCGTGCGCTCTTATTTCTGCATCTCCCACGTCCATCCTCCCCCAGTCTGCTTGCTCATCTGTCTGCCTGATCCCTGCCTGTCTAAAGGACTCACCTGATTAGCAGTAGCTGGATTAAGTCGGTTTTGACGGGCGAAATCCAACATCCAGTTGTTAAACATCTCTCCTTGGCTCTCATTTGCATCACCAGTTGAAATAAGTTTGAAAGCTAAAGAAAACGGGGTTTTACCGTAGCAGTCGGATTACACAACTTCTCCTTACCGTAATCTGCATTCTCGTCTTGCACGGTGCCAATAATAATTGGAATTCGTGGACGCCGTGCGGCAAGGTTTTCGATAGAGTCAGGCAAGAAGGTATCATCACGTACTATCATCCACGATGCCGTTGTCGTCTGAACGATATAATGAACATACAGGAGCGGTGCCGCTTGCGACGTCGCGATCGCCGCGCCGCCGCTAGCCACATGTACTGCCAGGGAGACGGAGTTACTTCCTGAACTTTCAACAAAGGACAACGAGTGGTTCACTGCAGACAAGCCCGACCAAGTCCTCCGCGCAATATGTGGAAAGTGAGCGGCAGCTGCGACGCGGAACACACGAAACACGTCCGATGCTGGGAAATCCCCATTAGGGCCATATCTGGTTGCTGGAGAGAGGAAGTCTTTGGATTAAGAAAAATTCTTTTGGATAGTTGGTCCCCCCCCCCCCCAGTTAGCGGCGCCGCAGATCATCTTACAACTACTATTCACGCTAACTGAATTTAGTA